AGCCCCGCCCCACCGCTCCTAAGGTACACTCCTACTGGCTTGTTCTTGGTTCTTCCTGCTGAAGCTTTCAGCCATTTCTCCTGTCTAGTCTCTGCGCGCCCCTTGTCCTGCCCGTTCCCCGCCCCTGTGGGGTTTGGTGCTGACCCTGGCTCCCTTAAGCTGAGTCAGTTGTCTCCTGCTCTCCGTCATCCAGACTGCTGCTGCCGCCCTCACCTGCCGCTTTGTCTCTCGCCGTTCCTCAGGCTGTGCATTTTTGTGCTGTTACCATTTTCAGGGTTTTTCTGCTGGAATGTCAGTCAGGAGGGTGTTCGTTTTGCAGCATTTCCATAGGTAGGCACGAAACTTTGGGCAGAGCAGGTTAGAAATGCCGTAGACACCCATTCCAAACCTACCCAGCAGCTGCAGCGGCCAGCGGGCCGTCCCTTCTCACCAGTAACCGCTGAAGTGAACCGTGTGTGCAGCCTGCCTGCGCGTGCATGTCGTGAAGAGTGCTCTGTCCACGTTGGTGGATTTTTATTCCGTTTAACTTAAATACCCTTATTAAGGGCATTTAAATGTTTCACTCCCCACCCCCCCTACCCCCAGTCTTGCCTTTTTATATTACCAACACTGCTGCAACGTTATTTTATTTGGTATCCATATGCAAATGTGTGAGAATTTCTCCAGGGGACCATTGCCTCATATGGCATGTTTGCATGAAATAAAAATGAACTGGAAATTTTGTAAGGCTTGATGAAAGATTTTATTCAGCTTTTGTGATGTTTTATAACTATAATAAAACAGTTCTTTGATTTTTTCATTTATTTGAAAGAGAGATTTACATGGAAAAGGATCTTCCATCCTCTTGTTCATTCCTCGAATGGACAGCCAGGGCTGTAACAGGACAAAGCTGGGAGCCTGGGGCCTCTTCGGAGTCTCCCACCTGGGTACCGGGCCCAAGCACGTGGGCCATCTTCTGCCATTTTCCCAGGAACGTTAGCAGAGAACTGGATCTGAAATGGAACTGCTGGTTCTTAGGCAGGCTGCCATGCGGGTGCTGGTGTTGCAGGCAGTGACTTCGCTCACTATACCACAACAGCAGCCCTGAGAAAAGAACCGAGAGCTTCCAGTTTTTTAAAGAATGTGTTGAAAAACAAATAATTTCTTATGATCTTAATATCAGAATTTATACCCACCTAATATATATTTAATTTCTTGTGTTTTGTTTTTTAAATGAAGAATTCTAACTCCTGGATACAGAAGTTGATACGTGAATACAGTACACTTGCTATGTGCATACTGTTTATTTAAAAACAAAAGTTGATGTATTTTGCTATCTGCACATACATTCTGTTTCCATTCTACAATTCAGGAGGCTGCATCCTGAAGCCTGTCGATTCACAAATGTGGAGTGTGAGGTCTGTGGCCCACAGCACGTAGAATCTCTGCTTGCACATGTGGGTGGAAAATAACAGACAAGATTTGTTTTGTTTCTGGTTGATGAAAACTCCTTCCTTCCAAGTTCTAGTGAAAACTTTGATTTCATTTTATTTAAACTTCATTTCAAGATTGTTCATTAAAAAAAAAAACAGCTCTTTTCTTCTTGGATGGCTGTGAAAGTACTTCTAGTAATACAAATGATTTTTGTGGGATTTATTTATTTTTATTAGGAAAATTTACAGAGAGAAGAGACAGAAAGAGCTTCCATGAGCTGGTTCATTTCCCAAGGGGCCGCAATAACTGGCCAGAGCTGAGCTGATCCGAAGCCAGGAGCCAGAAGCTTCTTCCAGGGCTCCCACACAGGTGGACAGGGTCCCAAGGTTTTGAGCCATCCTCTACTGGTTTTCCAGGCCAGAAGCAGGGAGCTGGATGGGAAGTGGAGCAGTCGGAACTTGGACCTGCACCCACATGGAATACTGGTGCATACACGCCTAGGATTTAACCACTAGGCTAATGCACCGGGCTCTCAAATAAAATAAAATTTTTGTTTTAGAAGTATCACATGCCCATGAAAAAAAATTGTGCAGAATGAAGAATTTCTACAAGCATAATAATAGAAGTCCATTTTAAAATGAGCCAGAAGAGGCTGGCGTCGTGACACAGTGCCTTGCAATGCCTCCGTATGAGTGCTGTTACAATCCCAGTGCTCCAATCCTGATCCAGCTCCTTGCTGATGTGCCAAGAAGAGCAGAAAATGGCTCGAGGGCTTAGGCTGGTGTTAGGATCTGGGTGGAGTTCTAGGCTTTGGTTTGGCCCGGCGCTAGCTATAATGGTCATTCGGGGATTGAACAGTGGATGGAAGGACTCTCTCCGTTTTTGTTGTTTTGATCTCTCCACCCATCTTAAGCATAATTTTTTCATTCACTAAAGATTTCAGCAGATACTCAAGGAAAACACGGATATGACCAATGACTACTTAATTTAAGTCATCTGTAAAATGAAAGTTTTGAAGCGCAGGGAGGTGTGTGTATACCGCGGCACTCCCGCTGGAAGGCTGGCAGACTGTCAGCAGCGTACGGCCTATGAATATGGAGCAACTGGAACCCTCATTTGGTGCGATTGTCTTGGAGACCTCTTGGATGTTGTTTGATTTGCTTTGTTTTTAATTAAAAAAAAAAAAGCTTTTGTCTGTCTTAGTCCCTGTAATTCTTGCTAATGTCCGCCCTGGGGGGGCAGCCAGTGATGGCCCAAGTGTTTGTTTTTTTGCCTTGTGGGAGGCCCAGAATAAATCTCTGGATGCTGATTTTGGCCTGGCTAGCCCAGACTGTTGCATAGATGTGCGAAATTTAATCAGGAGGGGGAAGTTGGTGTTCTTTTGCTGTTCTTTCTGTCTCTCTCAGATAAATAGATTTTTGTTTTGTTTTTTGATAGAGTAAATAGGGCTTACAGCTTGGCTCAACTGAGTAATCCTCCACTTCTAAGCACTGGCTTCCCTTAGGGACACCAGTTTTATTCTCCATGTCTCCACTTCCCATTCTGCTTCCTACTGTGGGTTAGGAAAGCAGTATAGGACAGTCCAAACCTTGGGACCATGCATCCATGTCAGAGAGCCAGAAGAGCTCCTGGCTCCTGGCTTCGGATCGGCTCAGCTCTGGCCAGTTATTGCAGCCACTTGAGAAGTGAACCAGCTCATGGAAGATCTTTCTGTCTGTCCTCTCTGTAAATTTGCTTTTCCAATAAAATAAATGCCTTTTTAAAAATTGATGTAAAGCACAGATATTACAGCATTCTCCTATATCTCACATTACAGTAATCATGAGGTGTGGCATCCTAAGTGACATCTTGTATTTATTTATTTATTTTTATTAGAAAGTCAGATATACAGAGAGATAGAGAGGAAGATCTTCTGTCCAATGATTCACTCACCAAGCGGCCACAATGGCTGGAGCTGAGCCAGCCCAAAGCCAGGAGCCAGGAGCTTCTTCCAAGTCTCCCGCAAGGGTGCAGGGTCCCAAGACTTTGGGCCATCCTCGACTGCTTTCCCAGGCCACAGGCAGGGAGCTGGATGGGAAGTGGGGCCTCCAGGATTAGAACCAGCGCCCATATGGGATCCCAGCGCGTTTAAGGTGAGGACTTTAGCCTCTACGCTATCACCCCAGACCCCTAAGTGACATCTTAATTATGGCTACATACTTGCCACCACAGTTTTCATTTTTAAAAAAAATGGTGGACTCATACTGCATTAATTTAGCTGATTAATTTGGTGTGACTTCAGTACTTTTTCTGCCATTAAATCTGAGCTTTGTTTTGTGACTGTCAGTAGGAATGTTCTTGTAGGAAATGTTTTTGAGTTCTGTTAAGTTTTTTGTACATAGAGTTAGGATCCAGTGTTCATTGTTAGAGAAATGAAGCACAGGGCAGGGGTCAGTCTGCTGGGCATGGCCTGCCTGGCCCTCAGATGGACAGGGCGGGGGTGTGAGCATCCAAGGACTGACTGTCTTATTGGCCACAGGAGTGGGGGGAAAAAGATAAAATAAATGAAACACAATTTTGGCTGCCACTGAAGTGAGGTGGGGCCTCAGTCTGGAGCCCCCGTGTGTCTGTTCTGAGTGGAGGCCCTTCTCATGTACTACTCTGCTTTAGTAAAACATTTTCTTGCTTTTTTTTTTTTTCTGTATGTGTCTGCATTTCCTAACACTGAGTCTAGCTTGGGATGCTTTTGAGCATTTGAGAAATGAAGTCCGTGCACCTTGCATTCTTTAGTGAATGGCGCTTTGTGTTCAGTGCTTCGTGTTTTCAGTTCTATCATGGTATCCTGAATAGATGTAGTCCATTCAACTTGAGCTTCTTGCTTGTTACATAGTGATTTATTGAGTACACTGCCATTCATTGGTTCTGCAGTTGATGGCCACTTAGTCTTGTTAACAGTCTGGATGACAGGTGCCGCCTGTGGCCGTGACGCTGCTGCTCGTGTGTGGGGCAGTGTGTTCCTTCAGGGACCCTGCATCTGGGGCCATCGCAGGTTTGCCTCTTCTCCGTGCCAGGCTGTGGTTGCACATACCTGACCTGGATCAGCTTTCGTTGTGCTTCTTCCTCATCCCCATCAACACTATTTTGTATTGTCAAGCCTTCCTTTCTGTTGGTTTCACAGGTCTGGTGGTGTAGTGTTGTGATTTGGATTTGCATTATTCATATTTTCCTTACTGTTGGTAATGTTAGCTTTCTGTGTGTGTCATGGCCATCTGGACACCACTTCTTGGTATAGTGCTTAATTCACTGCTTTCAAGATTTCTTTACTTATTGGAAAGGCAGCATTAAAGAGCAGGAAGAGACAGATCAGCCTAATTTTCTCTTTGTACAGATTAATATGTAGTTTTTTTACAAGTGTAGAAATGGGAATATAGAATAAAAGGATACATAGGTTGGACATCTCTGGTCTGAAAATCTGAAATGCTCTGAAATCCTGAAGTTTGGAGAGCACCTGTGTGATGATAAGTGGAGCAATGTTTTAAACTCCTCTTTCCAAAGCATACAGTCATTGCTGGACGTGTAGGATGACCTGTGTTATCTTGCTGTCACAGAAGGATGCCCTGCAGTGGTCTCGCAGTGCAGCTGCAGTGGAGGCAGAGGAGCCGGAGGACTCTGCCGATGTGGAGAGCTGTGGTTCCAATGAAGCCAGCACTGTGAGTGGTGAAAACGATGGTGAGTGTCCGGAGGGAGTCGGGGGCAGGGCTCAGGCAGTCACTTGGAACTGATTTTTATTTTCTTCTCTCCCAGTATCTCTTGATGAAACCTCTTCGAACGCATCCTGTTCCACTGAGTCCCAGAGTCGGCCCTTGTCCAATCCCAGGGACAGCTGCAGAGCCTCCACACAGGTAGGGGGAAGTGGCACAACCCCAGGCAGCCCTGAGATAGGAGGCTCTCTTCTTGGGCTGCAGCTGTGCCTGCAGGTGGAGAGGAGGGGTCTGGTCCAGCCTGGTTGTGCCCTGTGAAGCTGGGCCATGTGAAGCCTATCCATTGGTGCCTCTGCGGCAGAGGGGCCCTCACTTCTCTTCTCCATGACTTCTCTTCGTTTCTCATCACATGTGAACATCTAGGAAGAACCCTAGTGCCACGTGGTGATGACACGAACTTGGTAGTCAAGAGTTTGAAGGTCCTGCTGCTGACCAGCTAGCTGTGCACAGCCCCAGGACATACTGCTTATCCCTAAATTGTAGTGCCAGTACCTTCCAGAAGCTACAGTGAGGCCTGGCACAGTACAGGCCTGGAGTTCGGTAGCATTACCTGGCAGATGTGGCAGAGCAGGAACCCTGTTTTAAAAGCTGAGAGACTGTGCTACAGGTGGTACTCTTGTTGGCTCTGCAGCTAACTTGGGCTCTGTTTATTCTCTCTGGGGTATAGGCAAACAGACAGAAGAAAAAGACAGGAGTGATGCTGCCTCGAGTTGTCCTGACTCCTCTGAAGGTAAACGGGGCCCACGTGGAATCAGCCTCAGGTACGTGTAACCTCATGCCAGCTGTGTCTTTGCCTCTGCTCCTGGGCACGCAGCCTCCCTGGGTCAGCAGTCTGCCTTGGTGGTTGGATGCAGTGGAGTCTGGAGGCCCACTCTGGAAGGCAGCGCACTGTGGAGCACAGCCTGCCACAGGTTCTGGTGTTGACTTCTGCCGTGTGCCTGCTCTGGGCCTGCAGGGCGCTTGTGAGGACCCCTGAAGGATTGTGCAGTGCCTTGTAAGGGTGGAGTGCTGTTCAAGCCCTGTTGACGGTTTGGCGTTCTTAAGGTGATCTGGGAAAGCCAGACCATGAGCTGGCAAGTGCTGGCTGCCTGAAGCTGGGCGACAGAAGTGCTTGGGCATTGCTGGCTGCCTCTCAGGGAGAGCTGGGAACAGTTAGCTTGTCCGAGAGCTACGGTGCGTGATGCGTTTGACCAGTGGAATGCTGTGCCTTCAGGGTTCTCGGGCCGCCACGCCGATGGCGAGAGCGGCAGCCCGTCGAGCAGCAGCAGCGGCTCTCTGGCCTTGAGCAGCACTGCTATTCGTGGCCAGGCCGAGGTCGCCCGGGACCCTGCCCCGCTCCTGAGAGGCTTCCGGAAGCCGGCCACAGGTGAGTGGCTTGGCACACATTTCTCTGCCTGTCATGGGGGCTCTGCAGGCCCAGGAAGAAGCTGATTTCTACTCCAATTTTCCTGTACCACTTGAGCTTTACCTCTTCGTTGGCCTTCTGTTTTTGTCTCTTGGTATTTTGGTTTTTTCATGTGTAAATCTTCGCTAGACTGAGCGAGCTCCTGACAGGCAGAAGTGGTGCCACATTGCTCCTTGTGTGCCCCTGCAGGGCTCTTGCCTGCACCTACCTTGGTGCTGCTTAGTGAATGTATTGGTGAGGAATTCCACATTCTGCTTTCTTGCCCTGCTCATCTGCCCATCCATAGTCATTGGGAGATCCTCTCTTTTTGTAGCCAAGGCAGCCAGTGCAGGCCAAGTGTCTGTTGAACTTGAGGGTGTAGGACCATTCATTAGTGCTATACATTGTATACCTCCCACCTCCCAGCAGAGTTCCTTGCAATGCTAGTGTGCTCTTCACTATTTCAGGATTAATTTCTTGAGTGCTGGGGATTTCTGTCCGTGGGGCACATGAAAGCATTGGGAAACCTATCCCTGACTTCTGAACATTAGACCAAGCCATTGCCCCTGTGAGGACACAGCTTGCTGCCTTTCTAGCTCATTAGCAGTGCTAACTCTGAGGTTTCCCAGGACTCTGTTCTCAGTGATTCTCTTGAAATGAAAGTACACTTGCCCTTTGACATTTCCGTTGGCTTTCAGTGACCCTTAGTGCGTCTCTGCATGTGCAGCCCACCTCTGCAGCCTGTCGGGGCGTCTGCGGATCATTCTGTCGTGCGCTAACTAGATTTGTGTTTAGACACTGTACGTCATTTCTCCCCTTGGGCTTTGTGGATCATGCCCCTGCCTGGTCTGCTGTGGACAGAGTGTCTGCTTCAGGCTGTGACATAGCACAGTAGAGAAAGCCATCACAAGCCTACAGTGACAGTAACCAGGCAGAGCAGTGGTAGCAGACAGACTCGGGTGGGCCGTGGGATTGAGCAGGTATGTGCAGAGAAGTCCTGGGACTGCAGTGCCGCCACCACAGTTTTCCCATGTGTTGTCTGTTTTGTTTTGTTTTGTTTTTTAATCTGAATATCTGTGTCTGGTGCATCTTGCTTCAACAATCACAGGTCAGATGAAGCGCAACAGAGGGGAAGAAATCGATTTTGAGACACCTGGGTCCATTCTTGTCAACACAAACCTGCGTGCGCTGATCAACTCTCGGACCTTCCACGCCCTGCCATCGCATTTCCAGCAGCAGCTCCTCTTCCTCCTGCCTGAAGTAGACAGACAGGTACAAATGCACGGATTCCCTTTGCCTCTGGCGGGCTCCAGTTTTCTTAAGTTCCTTTTCTCACGATTTGGTTTTTTTCCTTTGTTCCCTCAAGGTGGGGACAGATGGCTTGTTGCGGCTCAGCAGCAGTGCACTGAATAACGAGTTTTTTACCCACGCAGCTCAGAGCTGGCGGGAGCGCCTGGCTGATGGTAAGTAGGTTCTGTCATTGATGACTGGAGATGGGCCTGCCACTTCAAACCCAAGAGTGGAGTTCTCACAATTTTCCTTTTTTCTCAAGGGCGATTGAACGTAAGACAGGCTTTCCCACAGCACCAAGTAGGTTTGAGGGTGTGACTGCTTCGCACAGCTCCGAGGAAGGAACAAGGTGTTCAGACTTTGCCTGTGCTATATTGGAAAGCCATTCTGCAAATGCTTTTTATCTTTAAAACCTCAAACACTAGAGCCAGTGCTGTGATGGCAGTAGATTAAGCTGACAACACTGGCATCCCACGTGGGCACTGGTTCATGTCCTAGGTATTCTGCTTCTAATCCACCTCCATGCTAATGTGTCTGGGAAAGCAGCAGAGAATGACGCAAATGCTTGGATCCCTGCCACTGAATTGGGAGACCCTGAAGAAGTTCCTACCTTCAGCTTGGTCCAGAGCTGGTGTTGCAGATATTTAAGGAGTGTTGCAGCAAACGGAAAAAGTTCTCTTTCTCTGTTCCGCAACTCTGCCTTTCAAATAAATAAACTTTTTAAAAAGCAAAACAAAACAAACTGGTGCCCCTGGCATGGTCGGTGCCCCTGGCATGGTCTGCAGGGCAGGAACAGAGAGAGGTGACAGTGCAGCACTGCTGTGCTGGGCTCCGCTGGGCTCTCCGCTTAGGTGTGAGCACTTGGGGGGATTGTTAGCTTCTGTGAAGTTCATTTGATGAGGACACTCTGGGGACAGTGTTGGGAGTAAGCAGGACTTATGGTAGAGGTAGACTCAAAACGGTGATGTTGTACAGCAAAGTATACAAAGCAAAATTGGCAGAGGGAGAGGGCATGTGGACCGAGGTCCAAGGAGAGCCGGTGATGAGCTTTTGAGTGCCTCTATGCGTTCATGTGGGCACACTTCATTCCCTAGCAGCAAGTCGAGCAACACATGTGCAGTGTGTTCTGGGAAAATTCTTGGTACTTGAGTTTCTTTTTTAATTAATTCAATTGAGAGACAGACAGATGTATACAACTCATGTTTACTGGTTTATTCCTCAAATATGTGCCATGGCCAGGACTGGGCCAGTCTCAGACTGGACACTGGGAGCTCAGTGCAGGACTCCCACATGGGTGGCAGAAGCCTGGTTGTTTCATTTGTCTGTCCCTGATACATTTTGGAGATTGCATAGCAAGAGGCTGAAATTGGAAGCCAGAGCTTGGTATCGAACCTTGGACACTCTTGGATAGAATGCTGGTTTCTTTCCTTTGTTTGTTTTAAAGATTTATCTATTTACTTATTTTTTTTAAAGATTTATTTTTATTATTTTTTCATTGGAAAGGCGGATATACAGAGAGGAGAGACAGAGAGGAAGATCTTCAGTCCGATGATTCACTCCCCAAGTGAGCGCAACGGGCCGATACTATGCCGGTCCGAAGCCAGGAGCCTCTTCTGGGTCTCCCACGCGGGTGCAGGTTCCCAAAGCTTTGGGCCGTCCTCGACTGCTTTCCCAGGCCACAGGCAGGGAGCTGGAAGGGAAGCGGGGCTGCCGGGATTAGAACCGGCGCCCATATGGGATCCCGGGCGTGCAAGGCGAGGACCTTTAACCACTTGCACCACCGCACTGGGCCCAATTTACTTATTTTTTAAAATGATTTCTTTTTATTGGAAAGTCAGGGTCCGTTGCAGTGGCCTTGAAGCTAAAGTGCTCTCCCTGCATGCACTGGGACCCTTAGGGGCACCAGGTTTGTTTTGTTGTTGTTGTTGTTTTTAAGATTTATTTATTTTTATTGGAAAGGCAGATGTACAGAGAGGAGGAGAGACAGAGAGGAAGATCTTCCATCCAATGGTTCACTCCCCAAACAGCCGTAATGGCCCATGCCGTGCCGATCCAAAACCAGGAGCCAGGAGCTTCTTGGTTTCCCACGCGGGTGCAGGGTCCCAAGGCTTTGGACCATCCTCAACTGCTTTCCCAGGCCACTAGCAGGGAACTGGATGGGAAGCGGGACTGCCAGGATTAGAACTGGCACCCATATGGGATCCCGGCATGTTCAAGGCGAGGACCTTAACCATTACGCTATCGCGCTGGGCTCAGGCACTGGGTTCTAATCCTGGTGGCCCTACTTCCCATCCAGCTCCCTGCATCTGGCCTGGGAAAGCAGTCGAGGACACCCCAAAGCTATGGAACCCTGCCACCAGCGTAGGAGACCAGGAAGAGACTCCTGGCTACTGGCTTTGGATTGGCTCAGCTCTGGCCACTGTGGCCACTTGGGGGGTGAATCAACAGATGGAAGCTCTTTCCCTCTGTCTCTCCTCCTCTCTGTATATATTTGATTTTGCAATAAAAAAGAAATAAAATCTTAAAAAAAAAAAGATTCCCCGCTTGGGGAGTGAATCAATAGATGAAAGATCTTGCCCTCTTTCTCTCCTCTTCAATGTATATATCTGAGTTGCAATCAAAATAAAATCTGGGCCCGGCACAATAGCGTAGAGGCTAAAGTCCTCACCTTGAATGTACCGGGATCCCATATGGGCGCTGGTTCTGATCCCAGCAGCTTCACTTCCCATCCAGCTCCCTACTTGTGGCCTGGGAAAGCAGTCAGGGATGGCCCAAGGCCTTGGGACCCAGATCTCCCACGTGGGAGATCTGGAAAGAGGTTCCTGGCTCCTGGCTTCAGATTGGTGCAGCCCCGGCCATCACAGTCACTGGGGGAGTGAATCATCAGATGGAGGATCTTTCTGTCTATCTCTCCTCCTCTCTGTATATCTGATTTTACAATGAAATGGGCAAATCTTTAAAAATTAAATAAATAAATAAATAAATAAAATCTTTTTTTAAAAAAAAAAAAAGTCAGATTCTCCCGTGTTGGTGCAGGGTCCCAAGGCTTTGGGCCGTCCTCAACTGCTTTCCTAGGCCAGATGCAGGGAGCTGGATGGGAAGCAGGGCCGCTAGGATGGGAACCCGTGCCCATATGGGATCCCGGCGAGTTCAAGGTGAGGACTTTAGCCTCTAGGCCACCGCGCCATGTCCAAGATTTATTTATTGTTATTTGAAAAGCAGATTCCATGAAGAAAAAACAAAGAGATCTTCCATCTGCTGGTTCACTCAGCAATGGCCAGAGCTCAGCTGGTCTGAATGTAGGAGTCAAGAGCTTCTTCCAGTCTCCCAAGCAGGCACAGTGACTCAAGGATTTGGAGCATCCAGGACATGAATTTGGCACCCATGTGGGATGCTGGTGCCACAGGCTGTTTGAGCACACCACTGGCCCCATGGGATGCAAGTTTCTTAAACATCAGACCAAATACCCCTCAGGCTCAGGATTTTTTACTAGTGTAGAAAGTCACTGCCTGTTGCATACCTGAATTCCAGGTACCTGACAACAAAACAGGGGTTCGACATAAACCTTGTTTGTGTAAACATAGGACTGGTAAGCCACTCATCAGACAAGGTGGAAGGAGTTCTGGACATTCAAGTTCCCAGATGTCCACTGCAGGCCGTCTTTGTGAACAGGGTTTTCGCAGGATAGGCCTTCGAGCCTGCCTCTGGTAACTGATCTGTCTAGGGAGTAAGAAGCATTCCTGTGTGTGTTCACCATTCTGCCTTTACAGTCGGTGAGTTGCAACGCTCATATCGAGTGCTTGGCTCAACTCCCAGCTGCTCCCAAGACAGGTGATGGACGGCTCAGGGCTCTGGCCCCTGCCACCTGTGGGAATCCTGGATGGAGGATGTTAAGGACTTGGAGGATGACCCATTGAATGGAAAAACTCTTTCTGCCTTTCAAATACAGTAAAAATAAATAAATCTAAATAAAATAATAAAACCATGTATAATACAACTTGGAGTACTTGATTATTCATAACACAGAATTCTTATGTATAAATGTACTGACTAGAAATGTTTGCTTTGTTTTTATCTAGGTGAATTCACTCATGAGATGCAAGTCAGGATACGGCAGGAAATGGAGAAGGAAAAGAAGGTAGAACAATGGAAAGAAAAGTTCTTTGAAGACTACTATGGACAGAAGTAAGGAGCTTGGTGTTTTAAATCCTGGCTTGGCCTGTGGAGGGGTGGAGGCAGATGGTTTCAGAGTACAGTGAAGCCAAAGGTGGATCAGTATTATTTGGGGCGAGGGGGAGAATTGCGTGAGTTTGCAGCAGGTGCAGACTTGTCATTATTGCCTTCATAGTACTTGCCATTTATGTAGCATGTACACCGAGGAAAGATTATCGGTCACTTAGAGATGCAAGTGGGTGAGATGATGAACATTGGTGATTATCAAATAGCACGGTATCTTAAGGAATTTGAGCATCTGTGGGTTTCAGGACCTGAGGGGGACCAGGGCCTGTGATGCTGAGCTGGGCAGGAATGCAGCAGTGGCGAGGATTTGGGTCAGTTAGCTTCATGCCAGGCAGACTGAGGCTGACACACATGGTTTGGTGTGGTTTATTCAGTGGAATCTATCTGGATGCAAACTCTTCATAATAAAGGAAAAGTGCCCTTTCTGGCCTGTCACTGATGTGTGAATTTGGTTTTCAGATTAGGACTGACCAAAGAAGAATCATTGCAGCAGAATGTGGGCCAGGAGGAGGCTGATGCAAACAGCAGCTCGCGGGTCCCAGGGGAATCGGCCCGGTCACAGAGGGGTCCAGCAACCCGACAACGTGACGGGCATTTTAAGAGACGGTCTCGGCCAGACCTCCGAGCTAGGGCCCGAAGGAACCTGTACAAAAAACAGGAGCCAGAAGAAGCAGCGGTCGCTAAAGATGCCAAGTCTGTTTTGCCTGATGTCCCACTCTGCCAGGACGGGGAGGCTAAGACAGACTCGACAGGGGTGAGCAGTGCCCCACTGCCGGGCACCTCCGACCCAGCGCCCGACCCAGAGGGGCCCCGATGCCCAAGTGAGTCTCTGGCAGCTCGTGTCCAGCCTGAGTCGGACAGCGCAACACAAGCCTCTACGTCTCCAGACCGAGTTCCCAGCTTGCTTCAGGAGGCTGTGGACCAGGAGCCCAAGGACCAGAAGAGGAAGTCCTTTGAGCAGACAGCCTCTGCGTCCTTTCCCGAAAAGAAGCCCCGGCTGGAAGACCGTCAGTCCTTTCGTAACACAATTGCAAGTGGTCACACCGAGAAGCCACAGCCCACTAAAGAGGAGCCCAAAGTCCCGCCCATCCGGGTAGGAGCCCCTTGGATTCCTGGCCACCAGATTCACTTGGCAGGTCATGGGATTGTAGAGCCTTTCTGCTGGGCAGGCGCCCCTGAGGCCCATGGGTTATATATGTGCGATCACGGAGCTTCTTCCAAGGGAGGCTTTGTTGAGGCACGAGACCTAAAGGTGAAGGGGATAAGAATCTTTCCTTCTAGCCTTTTTTTCCTTTACTATAGAGGTCAGATTTGTGGGGTTTTCATTTGATTTATTTATTGATATTTTGATTTGAGAGGTGAAGGATGCATATTCTCATGCGCTAGGTCGTTCCCCCAGTGTCTACACTCACTGGGGCTACCCAGGAGCTCAGGCCAGGTCCCTCATGTGGGCAATAGGGACACAGTTACTTGAGCCATCACTGTTGCCTCCCAGGGTCCGTACTTAGCAAGAAGCTGGGTCAGGCCAGAGCCAAGATGAAACCCAGGCACCCCAAGGTGTTCTATAACTGTTGAGTTTGCGGTTTTTTAAGTCTTTCATTAGGTATTGTCAAATTCTTTTCTATGCATACTTGTAGACCTGGTGGAAATGAAGTCTTAAAGTGTGGCATATAACTATGCTTAAATAGAACCTTAGCTATTTGTATTTTAAGATTTTTATTTGAAAGGCAGATTTTACAGATCGAAAAGGAGAAACAGAAAGAGATCTTCCATCTACTTCCATCCACATTTGGGATTTACTCCCCAGATGACCACAGTAGCTAGTGCTTGGCTAATCTGAAGCCAGGAACCAGGGGCTTCTTCTGGGTCTCCCACATGGATGCATGGTCCCAAGGCTTTGAGCCATCCTCTGCTGGTTTTGTTTTCTCAGGCCATAAATTGGAAGTGGAATAGCTAGGACCCAAACCAGTGCCCATATAGGATGCCAACACTATAGGCAAAGGCTTAGGGTACTATGCCATAGTGCTGGTCCCTAGACACTTAAAAAATGATACCATGCTCAGCCATTTTACTATTTAATTGTTATTAATATTTTTTAAGATTTGCTGTATTGGGCCTGGCGCAATAGTGTAGTAGTTAAAATCCTTGCCTTGAACATGCCGGGATCCCATATGGGCGCCAGTTCTAATCCCGCAGGCCCCGCTTCCCATCTAGCTCCCAGCATCTGGCCTGGGAAAGCAGTTGAGGAAGGCCCAAAGTGTTGGGACCCTGCCCCTGCGTGGGAAACCAGGAAGAAGCTCCTGGCTCCTGGCTTTGGATTGGCTCAGGTCCAGCCATTGTGGCTGCTTGGGGAGTGAACCATTGGACGGAAGATATTCCTCTCCATCTCTCCTCTCTGTACATCTGCCTTTCCAATAAAAATAAATAAATCTTAAAAAATTTTTTTTGCTGTATTATTTGCAAGGCAGAGTTATACAGGATAGAAATCTTCTATCTGCTTGTTCTGGTAGAGATGTCTGTCAGAAGCCAGGAGCTTCTTTCTGGGTCTCTAGCCATTCTCTGCTGCTTTCCCAGGCCATAAAGCAGGGAGCTGGATGGGAAGTAGAGGAGTAGTGGGGACACAGACTGCCATATGGGATGTTGTTGCCTCAAGCAGGGGCTTAGCCTAATCGCCTATGCCCCCACGCTGGCCCCAGATCATTACTTTTCTTCTTCTTCTTTTGTTTTTAAAGAAAATTACTTGATCCTTTAGGCCATGGACTCTTGAACTAATGGAATCTAAACTCTGCTTTACACTTCAAAGGTCAGGAAGGTCACCCCATTAAAATTGTCTTCTCAATTCTTTTCTTGCAGATTCAACTTTCACGCATCAAACCACCCTGGGTGGTTAAAGGTCAGCCCACTTACCAGATATGTCCCCGGATCGTCCCTGTCACGGGGTCCTCCAGCCGGGGCTGGACTGGCTCCAGGAGTCTCACAGACATTAAAGCCTGTGCCGGCCAGGCCCGAGGGGCGAGAGGCCACCATTGCCATCGAGAGGCGGCCACCACTGCCATCGGAGGGGGGGGTGGCCCGGGTGGAGGTGGCGGAGGGGCCACCGATGAGGGAGGCGGCAGAGACAGCAGCGGTGGTGATGGTGGTGAGGCCTGTGGCCAGTCTCGCTCCAGCGGAGTCCCAGGCAGCCCTGGAAAGTGTGCGTCAGATCTACAGCGAGCACAACTACTGCCGCCTTGTCCTCTGACTGGGGACCGTGCCCATGCCCACTCTGGGACTGCTTTGTTCAGGGCCGGGCGAGAGAAGGAGAGCTGCCATCTGCCCAGGGGCCCGAGCATACTGCCACGGGAGCTTGAAGATGCTCCTCAGCTCCCTGTTGCTCCCACTGGTGACCAGCCTTGCCAGGCTTCACCCCCACTCTCCTCCCAGACACCGGTAGCTGAGAGCTTAGTGGAGCACCCTCAGTTGCCTGCAGGAGTCCGAGTGGAGCACGAGTCTGGGACCACTGCCTGGGCAGAGTGTGAGAAGGAGCAAGGAACCACCGTCACTCCTGGGATTGGGCCCACTGCATCTGTAATGGAAGGTGCCCTGTGTGGAGGAGAAGCTGAGCAGGCTGACAGCAGTGAGCCCACCTGGGAGGATCCTGTGTGCAGGTCCCCAGGTGCCACACCTGAATTGCCCTTGGCTGACTGCCCACAGAACAGAGCCTTCAATGACGAATTGGGACTTGATGACTTGAGCCCACCCAGGAGGGAAGGGCCCTCCTGCCGAGCTAGTAGGAAAGCTGAGACTCCTGTTTGTGGCAGCACTGCCCCATGGTTGCCTGTCCCCTGTGATGAGGAGTGTCTGAGGCAACCTATGCCAGGGTGCAGAGCTGATGCAGTGTCTGGTGAGGCCCGGAGCCGAGAGGAGTGGGAGAAAGCTGCCCCAGGGGGGCTGACGGCAGAGGAGGGGCTAGGTCCGCCTGCCAGCCTGCCTTCACTCTGGACGTGTCAACCTCAGGGCTCCTCTGGCGGCTCTGGCAGCAACAGCAAGCAGGTTGCTGTTGATAAGCTGGAAACCAGCGGTGGCTCTGAAGCCCTGAGTCCCCACAGTGAATCCACAGACACAGCCTCTGATGTTGAAGGCCCCCTTTCTGAGGACAGCAGTGACACAGACACGAGAGAAACCCCAGGGACTAAGAGAGCCTCACTGGGCCAGGAGGAGAACCATGGCTGGAGCCAGTGTGCACCACTGCCCAAGGGCAGTGCTGACCTTAGTGTGGCCACAAGGACCCATGGGGTGGCTGCCGCCCGCAGCTGGGTGTCTCGAGTGTGTGCTGTCCCCCAGAAAATGGCAGACTCTCTGCTCTTGGCCAGTACCGAGTTTCAGCCGAGGCCTGTGTGCCTGGCCAGGCCAGGTTCCTCCATGGAGCTCACCAACCCACTCGTGATGCAGTTGCTACAGGGTAACTTGCCCCTGGAGAAGATCCTGCCTTCAGTCCACGGAGGCAGCAGCAAGCCAGAGGCCCCACAGATCCTGCCTGGGCAGGACCCTGGGGAAGTCAGCGGCCCAAGAAGCAGAAGTCCCTCACGGGCTTGGAAGGAGTCTGTTGAAGCAGGCCAAGGGCTCACCAGCATGGGGACTGCTCTCCTGTCTGGAACACCCCACATCACCAAGGCAGTCCCCAACTTCAGTTCATTACATCCAGTGACTTCTGGGAAACTGAAAGAAATGGATTCCAAAGAGCAGTTCTCTTCCTGTAGTGTTGGGGACCAGAAGGAGATCTGTGACAGTTCCCACTGCGGTTCTAATGCTGCTCCAGGCCGAGGTCCAGGAGACCACACTACCTCGAGAGCGCCTTGCTTCTCTCCTCCGAGTATGACCCGCTTCACTGCAGAGCAGGCCACCTGGGCCCTGGGTGAACAGAACAATGTTGGAGGCCAAGGGAAGAAACTCTTTGGCTCCAGGAACGTGACTGCAACTCTTCAAGGCCCTCGGCCTGTGGACTTGACTCCACTGCCTGGTGAGGTCCCTCCAGTTTTTCCCAGTAGGAAGCTGACACTGAGCAAAAACTCTGTGTCTGGTGGAGCTGATGTAAGGGAGGACTGGGCTCCGAAGCCACCACCTGCCGTTGCTGGCAACATCAAGCGGGAGAAGCCTATTGGAGGGGGTCCCCTCAAGGCCGACGCTGAGAACAGGAAAGCTTCCGGACACAGTCCTCTGGAACTGGTGGGACACTTGCAAGGGATGCCCTTTGTCATGGACCTGCCATTCTGGAAATTACCCCGAGAGCCGGGCAAAGGGCTCAGCCAGCCTCTGGAGCCTTCTTCCATCCCCTCCCAACTCAACATCAAGCAGGCTTTTTATGGGAAGCTTTCTAAACTCCAGCTAAGTTCCACCAGCTTTAATTACTCCGCCAGCTCCCCCACCTTCGCTAAAGGCCTTGCTGGAAGTGTGGTGCAGCTGAGCCACAAAGCCAACTTTGGTGCAAGCCACAGTGCATCACTCTCCTTGCAAATGTTCACTGATAGCAGCACGGTGGAAAGCATCTCACTGCAGTGTGCATGCAGCCTGAAAGCCATGATTATGTGCCAAGGCTGCGGTGCATTCTGTCACGATGACTGCATTGGACCCTCAAAGCTCTGTGTATTGTGCCTTGTGGTGAGATAATAAATTATGGCCATGGGAAAAAATGTATATTTAGTGTTTGTATTTTGATAATGGTTGATATTCTATCATTGATCTAATAGACTATCTAGGCAAGAGCACTCTTGCTTCTTTCTGAAATTTATTGTGCTGAAGCCCTCTGTCCCTTGCCAACCCTTCTGGTTTTGCCAGAGGGAATTTCTAGGGGGCGTCTCCCGGGGCTGCCTCAGGCCAGCCAGCCTGAGCCCTCTCCACCCCTGCCTGAGGTGGCCCAGGGTGCCTGCCTCACACTGGGCATGCTGGCTTGAAACTGAGGCCAGAGAGGGTCTCCACGCAGGGAACTCACCTTCCTGAGCCGATCAGAAATGTCAGTCTTCCACTGCCCCTCCCTGCCATCTTCTTTGCTGCAGCTTTGTTTAGTGAGGTGATGGTGAGGGAAGCCAGCACAGGGATTAAGGAACTGCCTGCTCTGCCCACCAGGGGGCTCGAGTGGCTGCTGGATGCACCGGCAGGGCCCAGCACTGAGTCATATGTGGGTGACAGATTCCTTTTGACCATTGGTTCTGTTGCTACAACTAGTTTGGAATTTGTTTCCGAACCACTTGCTGGCCCATGGGGGGTCTTTCAGAACCTTAACTGTCCCTGTTGGGATTCTGGGGTTGGGGAATGGAGTTGTGTGCTGTGACAGCGCACACCTCAAGAGCCGCCTGTCCCAGTGTTTGCAGACAAATTCCTCTTCCACACATACCCACTTCCTTGTACTCTGTGGATGTGGATCCTCTCCATGCACTTGTGTATGTGAAAGTCATTTACATTTCAAAGCAGCGTGTTTCTTATTTTTATATTTTTAACTCTTCAATGTATAAAGTAAACCTTTGGCTTCTGTAAGTATGCTCTATGCACCTCTGATGTTTGATCATGTATTTATATGTTGTATACAGTACAGCCGGTTCTGTAAATGGATGTATTGTACAGAGAACACGAACGTCTCTTCCTTACTTGACGTGTTGGCATCATTGCGTTCCAAGTGCTGTGAGTTCCTCCTCCTCCTCCCCTGTCATCAGGGCTTCAGTGCTGTGCTGCCTTGCATAACCAGGAAGCCACCTGGCTGGTGACAGGTCAGGGTGGCCCAAGGGTGTCTACCCACGTGCACACTGCTGAGCAGACGTGTCCTGCTCCCTCTTCCTCGCTGCTCCTCTGGCCTTTACTGGCTGCTTGCTGCCGTGGATGGTCAATGATACTGGATTCCTGGGTGAGTTTCTTGCTCAGTCCCCACACTAGGCCTTCCAGATATGGCCCTTGGGTCACCTCTTGTCACAGCAATACGTGGGCCTGCCCTCCCCTGGGGGCCACAGGGTTTCTTTGGAGCTGCCTTGTCTTCCTGCCCTCCCCGCGAGCAGGCGCCCCTGTGTCCATCTGCCCTCTCCCTGCGTCCTGCCTTATGTTAGTGTCTTGACCTGCTGCGAAGTTGAGGCTGCTCATTGAACCCAGGTCTCTGTGTGTGAGTGCCTGTCTGAGGTATGAGATTTGCGTGGCCCGGCGTATCTCACTTTACCTCAAAGGCTTCTGTGTGGCCTCCCTCCCACCCCCCGTTAATTTCTGTGTGGCATTTTTTTCACCTGAAGTATGAATGAGAAGTTGAATGTAGTGTTGGCTGTGCCAGCATTAGAACATTCCCTTTCTTCCTTCTGTTGTAGCCCTTGCGGGTGCAGTGGGGTGCTGGTCTGGCCCATGGAGCCACTCAGAGAAGCACTGCTCTTGTATGTTTCATGGTATTGGAAAAATAAACCTGTACAACCTGCATTGTGGCGTCCGTGATCTTGCATGGCTGCCTGTTGGTGTGGGAAGCTGAGGTTGACATGGTATAGAGCTGACGGGGGTAGTGAGTGTCTGCTCGCTTCCCTCGGCGCCCGTGCTGTCCCGCAGCATCCTCTGAGAAAGTCTGGTCAGAAGGATGATGGATGTCAGCTCTGCGCTCCTTGCAGCTGGTCGGAACCGGAAGTGAGGATCTAAAAGTGATGCAAGTGCTGCAACGGTGAGTGAGCCCCTGAGCTGTTCCCTCCCCCAAGATGGCCTGTGGGAGGTGTGTGGGAGCTAACTAGATGTGGCTCTGGGAGAGAGAGGGGCTGCAGGGAGTGGTTTCTATGGAGGCCTTAAATGTGACTATCTGACAGTGTGTGCACCTGCTTGAGGGCCAGACAGGTGGCAGAGGAAGCGCGTTTGCAGTCACTCTTACCTTAGGGTTAGAGGAAATACACAGAGTGGGCCCAGCAGTACAACATGAGCCTTTGGAGGCTGGGTGGCCACGTGGTGGTGGTCATAGGCACTTGTGCCTTTGTGTCCCAGGCCTTATTTGCCCACCCATGGCTGTGAAAGATGCTAGAACCTAGGGCTTGGACCTTGCCTGGTTGGCCCATCCTGTCTGCTAACTGTCTTGGTTGTGCCAGGCCACTTGGAATACATTTCCTGCTGTCAAGTCAGTAGTACCTCCTAGGAGATGGCTCAGTGACTCTTGGGTGAAGACTGCTGCAGCAAAGTGGATTTGCTGTAAGAGGGTGTAGCGGGCTGTGAAGCCAATGTGTGAGCTTTGGGATCCTGAGCTGAGTGTTCAGTGCAGGAGGCTTATTTGACTCTTGGTTGAATGGGGAAGGAAATGTGGACTGTGACAATGGTATTGTCTTGCTGGCTGGGGCAGGTATCATTTATTCATTTGACATCCGTCTGCCCTGGAGGAGGTGAGACCTGGCTAGTGAGGGCTGTATATGTGCTAGACAGAGCAGTCTGCAGCCACTGGACTCTCCCGGGAGCAGCCCTTGTTACCCTTGCATGGGGTACTGTGAAACCACTGCAAGGATGGACTTTGCAACCTCTACCAGGAAAACAGCACTCATGCCACCTATGTGTGCACAAGCTGAAAGCTTGGAGTGAAGGGCTCCAATAATGTTGGATGCCAGGGGTGGGGTTGTGCAAGGTAGCTGCAGGCAAGACTCCAGACGGAGTATGACGGTGGCATTCCTGGTTTTGAGTGGATAATATGGATAGTTAAGTATGGCACATGAATGCCATTATAATACCCAAATGGTCCTTGGCAGAGAAAAGGGTGAATGCGTGGTGCAGTGGTGAATGCTGCTGCCTGCAGGGGAACTGAGCCTGTGCAGGCTCTTCCCCAGGGATGCACCCCTGGAAGATGTCCTCAGCTGTCCCAGGCAGCTGGGGCTTCTCCTTCCAGAACTCCTGAGTAAACGTAAGCTGGGTGGGTTTGGACATAAGGTTGCCCAGGAGGAGCTAGACCTCTGAAGATTCTGCATAGGCTTGCTGCGGCTTCTAGGCTCCAGAGTGCATTTTGGGTTTCTTGAAAAAGGCATGGGTGTGTGTCCACTATTACTGCGCCCAGGGAAGGAAGATTTGCCTGTTGTGTGCCAAGTCTGTTTCTGTTCGTTGTCAAGAGGGGACAGATGTGTGTCTATGTTGGCTGCACTGGTCTGCAGCCGCATGTAAAGCCAGACGGGGATAAGCCACTCTTTTTCCTCCCTCAAGCGTTTTTCCCAGGGATCCCATTGCAGCTGCACCTTTGCTGTGGAATAAGTGCATGCATGGGTGGCCGTGTTCTGGAATGTTCCCAGGCCCACAGTGAATCGACAGTGATCATTTGGGTAGAATGAGGCCTGCTGGGTTGCTGCAGCACCTGGCCTCGGCGCAGGGCTCCAAACTGCTGGCCCTTGCCTGTGGTCTCTTGAACTCACACATTTGGCTATTGCACAGTCTTTCCATTGTTTTTTTTTTTTTTTTTTTTTTTTTTTTATTGGAGAGGCGGATATACAGAGAGGAGATACAGAGAGGAAGATCTTCCGTCCGATGATTCACTCCCCAAGTGAGCCGCAACGGGCCGATACTATGCCGATCCGAAGCCAGGAGCCTTTTCCAGGTCTCCCACGCGGGTGCAGGGTCCCAAAGCTTTGGGCCGTCCTCGACTGCTTTCCCAGGCCACAGGCAGGGAGCTGGAAGGGAAGCAGGGCTGCCGGGATTAGAACCGGCGCCCATATGGGATCCCGGGCGTGCTAGGCGAGGACTTAACCACTTGCGCCACCGTGCCGGGCCCAAGTCTTTCCATTGTTAATCAGAGTTCTTGGGATGGTGTGAGAAAAACAGGTTTAGTAACTGCTGTGCAACCACATTCAAGGTCACGCCTGAAAGTGTTCCCAATCTCCACGGTGGTTCTTAAGCCTGTAACAGGCAGGGAAGTCCCAGTCACAAACCTCATACTGAGCCTAAGTGTGGATAATGAAAACCGAAACTTGGCCAGGGGCCCCCTGGATAGACCCTTTCGTGTCCTACAGTGTGGGTAGCATGGAACATGGTCGGCCCGGGTTGTCAGGTAAGAAGGGTCCCTGTTGGCTCTGTGGTGTGTGGGGGTATGTTAGGGTTGCTGTAAGGCTTCCAGTGGCACTGGTAACCAGTGAACCCCAGGAGACTTGGCGCCTGCCCTTTCTCACAGGTTGGACATCTTGCTAGTCAGCCAGGTAAGGGTCAGGGAAAGGGTGGGACTGTGTATGGTCTGACACATGGAAGCACAGCACTGAGTTTGTCGTTCAGTGTTTATTAAGTAGATTCAGTCTTATATATGATATACAGTTCAAAAGGAAGGATTCCACATACTTAAGAAATCAGTGCATTTAGCAAGTAATACCATGGAGATACAGCTCGATTAACAGCTCATTGGTCTTCTGTTAAGTCGGGGAGAGGAGGTGGCCTGTGCCAGTCATTTCACAAACAAAACAGTTGAGTCGCATCACAGATAAGACACGTGCTAAGAATTAAAATATTAAGCCACGTTTACTGGAAAAACTCACTATAGAGAACACAAATCGCTTATCTAGAAAGCGTCGAGGAGGAAGGCCTCACCTGCTTAGAAGAGCCACGTTAAGTTGCATAGGTGCGTATCTGTAAAAATATAATTTAGAGGTGAAGCCATCAACTCGGTCCCCACAAGAAGGTGCTGCCAGCCACTGCCGGCCTTCAGTGCCATATGCGTACCAAGAGCCAGCGGCAGCAGGTTGGCTCACACACGCACTTGAGCTTTGTCTAATTAAGCCAGGGGCTTCACCACCCCACAGGTTGTACCCAGGTCCTTGGTTTGATCCCGAAGGCCACAGAGTGACCTGCCGTGCTGCTGGAGAACGGGGCCCTCACCCTCCCTCCTCCTGGCCCAGCCACTGCGCCTGAGTGCTGTGTGGCGTGGAGTGTGGGGTGGTTTTCTCTTTAGGTGGAAACACTGGTAAAAAGTGAGAGGTTTTGTTTCGTGGCTCTGCTAAGCAGATGAGCTTAGTGAGGTGCGGCTTCCTCCTCGCAAGCGAGGCTTGCAGAACACATGGGGACGGGGCATCTGTACATGTAAACAGTACACTTCACTGAGTCCGAAATTAGGAGCAAAAATACAAAGGTTCACATTGGTCTTAGGTAGATACATGTGGAAAAGGGCCGAGCTGTTGAGCTCAGAAACAACAAAAACAAAGTTCCTAAAGCACCACTAAATTATATAAAAAATCAGACCACGGAAGGATTGAAATGGGCATTCTGGTGAAATATTTTACTATTCTGTAAAAAGTCTTACAAAAAATTACAAAGTAAAAGTCAACCCTCTGAGTTCAAAGCAGCATTTTGAAAGTGAACTGGTGTTTAGTCCTGTGACCACCCTTGGGGTAGGGACGATGGGGGCCACCTATGGGAACCTCTCCCTAGCCCCTCTGTCTTTCTTCCTCCCTCACGACACTGTCCATGGGAACAGACTGAGCCACCTGGGACACCCCACGGAGGCCCAGGGCCTGCTTCCTAGCCTGTACCCTGCTTCCCGCCAGTGTTTCCCTTTAACCTGGGTTCTCAATTGGTTAATTGACAGCTTGAGCCCTCCACTCTGTGGGGGTTCACAGATGGCATGGGCAGGCGGTACCCTGGGCCCCTAAGAGGAGGCTCTGCAGGACCAGCATTTGGAGATTCTCTCCAAGTCAGGAGGGGAGGTAAGGGGTCAAGGCAGTGTCTTTTAAAACAAAAGTAACACGAGCCCTCTAACTCATAGTTGATGGAGTTGGTGTTAGAGAGTGCCCTGCTGTCGCCAGGGCTGGCTCCCTGGTTCTTCCTTGGAAAGGGGCTCTGCCAAGAGGGGAGTTCACACAACAGACTCCACTGGCTTGGAGGGCCCCTCCCCATAGGCATGCCTTCCCTTTCCCTTAAAACCTGTGGCTGCGAAGCCTATGCCCAAGTGTGGCCCTGAAGGGTTGGCAGCTTCCTTGGATCAGGCAGGTGCCACTGCTCAGGTCCAAACCACTGGACAAGGTGGGGGGGCGCCCGCCCCTTCCCCTGTCTCCTGCTCTCCAAGCCCACCAGTCTGGCTTAGCCCTGCCTCTGGGAGGAGAAGCAACATGGGAAGCAACTAGTACCAGGAATTGTAGGGCGGCGATTGTCTCTGCCAGTTCTTAACATGAAGATTTTCACAAATTGCCTTGGGTCACATTTTGCAAAAGATCTAATGATTACTTTGTAATATTGTTCACACAAAAATAAATATTTACACAAATTCAAACATTGGGGGATGAGGGGAAGTTGGACCGAGCAGGTGGGGGTGGGAGAATGGGTGTGTGGGTGTGTGGGTGGTGGGATGAGGGAGGCCTTGGGCGCTGCAGTTTGTGCTGTGTTGAGGGTGCACTGGGTGTCTGGGCCCTGGCCAGCAGCCAGGGGAGCAGTTAGCTGGAAGGCAGAGGTGGTGTGGCTGGGTCTGGCATTGGAGGCCACGTGAGAGACAGGCCTGCTCCCAGCCTCAGGGGACTGGACATGAGCTCAGGGCAGGGTTCCCTACCTTGTGGTTTCTAGATGTGAGGCAGGATGGGGCATCCACAGTGGCACCCCCTCCTGCCCCTCCTGAGGGGTGGTCTTCCACGGTGCCAGGAGGCAGTGGCCACAACAGGCAGTTGGCTGCAGAAAGGCTGGTCCTGGGGGGTGGGGGTGCCTGCTCTGGGAGAGACTGGCTCTTCTGTGGCCATCTCTGGTCCACTCGGCCCAGGTTCCCCCAGGGCCTCTTTGCTCCAAGGGAAGAAAAGGCAACAGAGGGCTTGTGCCAGCTGCAGTGTGGGCACGGAGGCCTGCTGGGGTCTGGGCAGATCCCTGGTCATAGCAGCACTGGGAGGTATTGCACTGAGCAAGAGGAAGTGCCTGTTAGGGAAGGAGGCGACTGGCCAGCTCTTGTTTTCTGCCCTTTTTTTTCACACTCCAGAGATTCCAGGGGTCTCCTGGGAATGGCTTCCTCAAAGAGCTGGTCCCAGGGGAGCCCCTGGTGGCTTCGCCACTTCCACTAGCAGTCCCTTCACTGCAGCCACGGTCCCACAGGACTCACAGCTGCCTGCCTGCCAGCCAGCCAGGGCTCACCCTGAAAAAACAGCCCCTTCCTTCTCAGCTCCGTAGGGCAGTGTTGGCCTGGCCCCTTGCTGGACTCCAGTTCTGGGGCTCCTGGTCTGGATGTAGACCCCCCAGGCAGCCACCTCATGGGGAGCAGGCATTCAGAACAGGTTTGGGGCACATCCTAGAAACGGCCCACGCTGGAGTGTGAGGTAGAAGACAGGTGACCTTGGGACTGGAGCATCTTTAGAGGGGGGCGGGGGCCTTTCCTAGTTCGCTTTGCAATGGGGGTGGGTCTGGTCCTCCTGCTTGGCGGTGTCCCTGGGGCAGCATGGGGACCTGCACAGGACAACCCGGCCCCCAGCCTGCGCCAGTGTAGTGATATGGAATGTCGGGGCGAGGGGTGTACATCCTTCTGATCAGACAGACACAGACTGGCAATCTGTACAAACACAAAGAATCCATTTTCAGAAAAATAAATTACTAAGGGGAGAGGAAGAAAGGGTCCACTTTGTTTTTCTCAATAAATATGCAATTCTGCTCACCTAAGACTTGAAAGGTAATTATCTGGGAGTGGGGTTCTAACATCAGGGTCCACGAAGGTGATTCTAGGGGAGCTGCAGCCCTAGCCCCTCCAGAGGCTGCCCTGTCGGCCTCTTCCAAGCAGGTCAGAGCACCCGTGTGATGAGATTCCAAAAAAAGTGTCTTTGTGCCCAAAGTCTCAGGTGCTTGGAGTGTGGCTAGAATCGGCGCTCTGGATCCCACCTCTTTGCGAGAACAAATGTACCAAGTGGCGAGGCGGGAAGCGGGGGCCGGGCCGGCCGCCTCCCCACAGGCGCGGTGCACACCGGCCAACAGTGCTGTCAGTTCTGCTGTAGGATGAGGTTTTCCAGTTCATCTGCAGAGCGCAGCAGGAAGGCCGCAGATTCGCGGTAGCCAGCAATGAGCTGCCGCACGGCGCTGATCTCCGTGGGGCTTAGCTGTGCCGACGACATGGTCCTGCTGGTGCTGTTGGTGGAGGGTGTGGGCGTGGGCGTGGTGGAGGCTGTGGAGGCCCCACCTTTCATGCTGAGGTCCGTGGGCCCTGTGGAGAAAGAAAGCCCATGAGGGCGGAGATGTACATGCTCCTAACCTCTGTGCTGTCCACCATGAGTGGGGCACTGGGCCTTGTGCATGCGTGCAAGGAAAGCGAGCTTCCCAGCTGTGTAAGAAGCCTTAGCCTGGGTGACAAGGGTGCAGGCTCTGGCCTCAGGCAGACGAGTGGGGCTTCCACCTAGGTCCTGGCGCCAGTTGCACCCCTCTGCTGCTTTCTGAGGAACCTCCCACTTCCCCCAACACACCCATCCCAGCCTTAACCCCCAGGCAGAGCTGGTCCCCATGCAGACCAGGGGCTACCAGTGGTGGACTTCTCTACCCCTGCTGCTGCCTGCTAGGACAGGGCAACTACCAGTGTTGAGTGAGTGGACTCCCAGGAGGCACAGAAGTAAGCTGGATGCTTAGCAGGGAAACCTCCAGGGGAAGAGTTAGGCACCCCTCCCCAAGCTCACATCCTGGGGATGATCTAACCAAGTGAGGTGGTTCTAAGTTCCCAGCCATCTCCCTCCTGCCCAAGAGGTCCTGATGGCCAGGCCTTTCCCTGCACTGCTACTGAAGGGGATGGACAAGATACGTCACTGGAGATGCCTGGACCCAAGGTAAGACTGTGGAAACCATGGGTACCGGGTGGCTTCAGGACACTGGTGTGGCTCCCACTTGGGGAAGGAAGTGGGGCCTAGGATGGTCACCGGGGTAACTTCCCTTCTGACCAGATGCTGTATCAAGGAGGAGGCCCCAGGAGCTGTTTTATTAGAGAAGGCAGTCTGTTAGAAGCAAATGCAGGGAAGGAGTAGGGCTGTGCTGGTGCCCTACTGCTTCCCGGCAGGTAGGGGACCTGCAGGGCTGCCTAGACCCTGCACAAGGATGCTGACTCCCTAGCAGTGCCATGTCCCTGTGGACTTTGCTCCTCCCACCCCTGACTTCCCCGCCTCCCTAGCTCTTGTCCCTTGTACTACTGTACCCAGAGCAGTGCCAGAAGCCTGGGAAGGAGCAGGTCCAGGCTCCTGGGGCCATGGGCCAGGAGCCAACCCTGCAGGGTCAGGCCACCTGGTGCCAGACAGGCAAAGTGGACAATGCCCCAGGTAAGACAGGCACAACCTGACACTAAGCTGATCTGCATCTTCAGTTGGTGGGACACCGAGCCAACGGAACATGGCTGCCCAGGTGAGGAGCCAAGCTGAATGACAAGCATGGAGCTGGGGATAGCTGAGGCCAAAGCAGCAACTCCCTCCATGGAGAGACCTGAAGGCAGCTTGTGCCTCTTGAGCTGATGTGAACAGGGCCAGGGCACTGACCCAGGCCCTCTGGGGCAGCCCTGAGAGGCTTGGCACCTTGGCCTACTGGCCTGAGTCATGAGTCACCACCTCCCTGTCCCTGGAGCCTTGCTTCCACAGGGCTCTCAGGAAGAGGTACCTACTCTGCCTCTCCCTGTGCCGGCCACACTGGCCCAGAATCCAGGGATTAGGGCCAGGCAGACTCTTATTTTAGGTTAAGAAGCATTAGGAAGGGATGAGACACTAAGCCCAGCCAGAAACCTTCCAGGGACATGTGCACACTCCCCACTTGTGGGGCCATGGTGAGCATGGGGGTGTGGGCTTCACACTGTGAGGAGGTACCAACCAGCGCCCTTCCTGGCTGCCCCGGCAGAGGGTAGGCTTCCTGTGGCAAGGCCAGGGCTCCATGTCCTGCTGCACATGTGTGCAAAGCCACACAGAGCAGGGCGTCCTCGGCTCCCTGTGGTCCCCAGAGCCGGTGGTGTGTATGCCTGTCCCTGTTTACACCCCCACCCAATCCTGGGGCAAGCAGAAGGATGCGGACAGCACAACCCAGCGTCTAAACGCTGGGCCCAAGTGGCCCTGGGATTGCCCACCCTCACTGTACCCACCCTGCCTCCTGTCTCTTTCCTGGGGCTGTTGGAATGCCACCCAACTCACCATTACTGTGATTTCCTGTCTGAAGGGAAGCAGGGGGCTGCAGGTTGCTGCTCAAGGCCCCATAGCCACGGTAGCTGTAGTTGAGGCTGCCGTTGACGTACACAGGGTCCTGGGAGTAGGAGGGGGCTGGCAGTGAGTAGGTGGAGTGGGTGATGGTGGCGGAGTCCCGGGAGTGCTGCTTGTCCAGGGCTATGGGCTCGTCCTGCACAGGAAGAGGGCAGCGCTGGGGCACCAAGGGTGGTGGATTCCTGGGACCCAGCACCATGACCTGGCTCCAGGGGTCCCCCTGCCATGCTGCAGGGCCCATCCATGTTGAAAACCACCCAACTGCAGTCCTTTTCCGGCACCCCTGACCTACAAGGCCTGTTAGCATACCCACCCCTTGTCTCCCCATCTCCACCCGAGCTCCAGTGGTCCCCACTTGACTGAAGATGGCCCCCGGTACTCCCGTCCAGGACCCAGGGCAACTGCCAGGCAGCAGGCACCTGCGAGGATTGGTAGATCTCCAGGCGCATTCTCTTTGCTGCTTTCCTGGTCTCACTCTCACAGGCAGCTGCCAGGATGTTCTCGGCCATAGCTGAGGTCAAGTGGGGAGGCGTGGGTCTGGTCTGCGGCAGAAGGGAGGAGAGCCATTGAGTGTTAGGGCTCGCATGCAACACTCAGAGATGCTTAACATACAGAGCTGCTGTGGAGGCTGCGAGGGGCCCCTGGGTGACCCTGAGGCAGGGAGCAGGCTGGGCTCACCATTTCCATGCCGTTCTTCTTCATGCGCCGGCAGGACTTGAGGTATGTGCGGATGCGCTTGCGTGCGCGCTCCTGGAATTCGGGGAACTGACGGCTGCAGGATTCAATGATGGCCTGGATCTTCTCCTTGGGCTGCTTAGAGATGGGCACCATGCGGTCCAGGTTCTCATCCACAAAGAGACGCACAAACATCTGTGGGAGATACGGGTTGTGGGGCAGGCCATCCTGGGGTGCCCCCGATTACACTCTGCCCCACTAAACCCTGCCCCACTCACGTTGAAGGCCTTGAGACGCTCAGGGTCCATGCCCTCAGGGTCGTTCATCTTGTCGTTGTCCTCATGGTCGTCATGGTCGTCGTCGTCATCGTCAGCCGCAGGGGCCCTGCCCACCGTCAGGTCCTCAGGGCAGCCGCTGACCTCCGTCTTGATAGAATCATAGCTCCCAGAGCTGTAGGGGGGAGACTGAGGAGAGGGAAGTCGCAGGGGAGTCAGGGTGGTGAACAGGGGCGCTCATAGGAGCCACGGCTTCCCTCCTTCCCAATCCTGTCATCTGTGAAATGAGGCCAGGGTACCCACACCGCAACCCATCACACCAGGCAAGGCAGAGGCCAATGCAAGAGGAATTCCTGTCACCAGTCCTGATCCTTCTGTGCCAAGATCTGTTTTTGGCTTCAGGGTTTTCCTTCCTGATCCCTGATGAATATTGCAACCCTGAGCTGCCAAGCGAGCTGCCAACAGTATGCTGTCTGCTGGGGCAGAGCAGCAGATGCAATGAGAGCGCGAGCCGGCCAGGGCCACAGGTCCATTAGGCAGTGTGTTCTCGGGGCTCCTGGGCAGAGCTGCTCCTGACTGCCTTCACACCCCCCAGGAGATGCAGGAGCCCCGGTGCAGATCAGCACTCCATGGAGGGTGGGCAGGCCAGCCAAGGCTTGGGCACAGCAGCCAGGACACTGGCTGAGTCTCCTACACTCCCTAGCCCAGCGCCCAGGACCAAGTCCTGGTTCCCCATCCAATTCCAGCTTCTTGATCATGCGCCCCCTGGGGGCCAGCAGGGACTGGTTCAAGTGGCTGGGTCCCTGCTGCCCACAGTGAACACTGGATGGAGTTCCTGGCTTGACTATCTCAGGCTTGTGGGGCAAAGGGAACACTGTCTCCTGACTCCCTACCTCTCAGAAATCAAGCAAAAAGGTTGAAAAGGAGTGCAGTCCCTTCAAGGCACTACTCCCAGGGCAGCACCCTGAGAACTGCCGCACATGCTTGTCAGTGCTCTACAGAAAGAACCAATGCCCAGGGTGTATCCTGCCCTTGAGTGGGCTGGCCCCAGCAGGTGAATGGGGCTCAGGAAGCGGGATCCCAGCAACCCCAAGGCGTGAGCCCAGGAAGCTAATCGCCACCACTCTGCACTCTGCCCACTCCTAGGCTCCTCCCAGCCTACCCTCACAGGTCCTGACACAGCCTCTACCCTCCTCTTGCACAGACTTGGGGGAGGGGACGGGACACCTGCCCCCCAGAAGTATACTGCACTCAGTAGTGTTGGCTGCCTACAGGCCCTGGGGCCCTGCCAGACAAAACTTGCCCCATCCGTGGGGCAGGAGCTCTGCCTGCCCCAGGCCCAGCCTGGCACGTGCCAGTACGCCCTACGCCCTATGCTGCTGCAAGAAGCCTTGGTGGCCGGGACCCTGGAAACAGTGTCATTGCCATCCCTGCCAGCCTGGAGGTGGGGGGGGGGGGGTTCTACCCTGCCATGTCCCCATTTCCTTTGTCACCTGCAGAGTGGAGCAACCAGGCAGAGTGGTTGGAACATGAGAGGCTTTGAGCTGATTGGCACTTCACAGCAGAAAGCTCCAGGGGCAGGTACAGGGTACACTCAGTCATGGTCAATCCCAACACAGGGGAGGAGGGGGTCACACACCCCAACTCACCTCAGGGGTGGTCTTCACCGCGTACTTGACCCGGCTCCGCAGCCCGTCGGAGCCGCAGCCATCTGAGGGGTAGGAAGGCGTGCCAAGGGCTGAGCCTGAGGGCAGCTTGTCACACAGGTTGATGGGTTGGTCTTCCGCAGCCGAGGCAAAATCCATAGGGGCGGCAGCACCGTTGCCATTCGTCTGGGGGAAGGCAGGGTCACCCTGAGTGCTGCTCGATGTGGACGGGTTCAGGGTGGAAGAGCCATGGCCGCTGCCGCTCTCGGAGGAGGAGTCGTCTGCAACAAGCGGACCAATGATGAGGTCCAGCCCAGCACCTGCCATCCCCTGAGAACCCTTCCCACCACCTCACCTCAGCACCTGCCAGAGGATGATGGGGTCCTTACCAGCGAGAGGGGGGTTATAGGCAGTGCAGTGGCAGGGGTCAGCAATCAGGGAGGGTCAAGGTGGGAGTGAGGGGCTTGGCCAGGTTGCCTTCTCCAGCTCCCAGGTGGTGGTGTGTGGCCACCTGGTCACCTACACCCTCTCATAGGTGGCTGAGCCCCTCAGATCTGTCCTCCCCTGCACAGGACCTGTAGCCTCCAGCATCCCAAGCCAGAGCTGCAGACCCAACAAAACACTGCACGGGGATGCCCCCTGCTGCCCAGAGTGCCACATCGTCTGCGGGACCCTGGAAAGCAACCAGGGAAAGAGGGCAGCTCCAGAGACTCCAGGGCTCATGGGCTGTAGGAGCAAAGGCCAGAGCCACCCTGACAGTCCTAGAGTTACTGTCACGTGAGCCACCTAACGGCTTCCCGGGGCCACTGACGTTCGTGTGCCCAGGTGTCTCAACACCTGAACCAAGTGTGGATGGGGGATGTTTATCTTCCCCTTTCCCAGGCCAGGGTTGTGCCAGCCTCCACCCTCCTGGCTGGTAGATTATGAAGATTTAGTCCCTGGTGTTGGGCACTGGGTACAGGCCCTGGGCTAGAGTGTCCCCATGGCTATGGAACAGCTCTAACATCCCCACCAATCACAGGTCTCCCAGCTGCCCAGAAGGCAGGACCAGGCTGCCCATCAGGCAGTCCAGAGTACTGGGCAGAGGGGGATGGGAAAGACCACAGCACAGTGGACCCTCCCCCTTCAGGCCCCCGCAGGTCCCCTGGGTCAAGCTGCTGATCCTTCAGGCAGCCTGGCTCTCTGCTCCCAGCCTGCCCACAGCCCCCACACCCCAGAGTCTCCAGGCCTGCAGCCTCTTATCCCTCCACAAGGGGCTCTTCTGGCAGCCTCTGGGGCTTGTGGAAGGCATAGGGTACCCAGCCTTGGAACCAGCCCTCCCCAGGATCAGATGCACACTGCTGATCATGGGACAACTGCCCCCTCCCCGCCGGCCAAACCCCACACTCAGGGTGGCCGCCATAGGCTGCCTCTCAGCAGCCGGAACTCCAGACTCCAGGCCTGCGCATGGGCCCTACAGTTTGTTAGCACACCTGTCCCTCAGCCCCCATCTCCTCCCTCCACAGTCCCCGCCAGCTGTAAGTCAAGGCTCCTCCTGCTGGCCCCAAGCAGGGCCTGTGGAATTGAGGCTGGCACTGGTGGGTCACTCAGACCACCTTGAGAACTCCTCTCCCAGTCACTGCTTTGCCTCCGAGCACCTTGGCGGCCTGTGGAAGGAGGGACTGCTCCTCAGCATGCTGCGAGGTGGCTGAGCCAGTGGGCACTATGTCCACCACAGCCCCAGACTGGCTGCAGAGCTACCCCTGGCAGGCTGCCTCTTGCATGTTCCTCCCTGAGTTGGGGGGTCCCCTTGTGCCAGGGCTATGCCCTTGTACTGGAACAGGTGGCACTGGTGCCAGTGTGCTCACACGGTTCTCATTTAAGATTTACTTTTCTATTGGAAAGTCAGATATACAGAGAGGAGAGAAATGGAAGATCTTTCATCAGTTGATTCACTCCCCAAGTGGCCACAACAGTCAGAGCTGAGCCAATCCGGAGCCAGGAGATTCTTCCAGGTCACCCACGCGGGTGCAGGGCCCTAAGGCTTTGGGTCATCCTCCGCTGCTTTCCCAGGCCACAAGCAGGGAGCTGGATGGGAAGCAGGACCACCAGGATACAAACTGGCGACCATATGTGATCCTGGTGTGTGTAAGGCAAGGACTTTAGCCACTAGGCCACCATGCGGGCCCAGTCCTCGTTCTTAAAAGATGAGAATTACCTATAGCATCCTGCACACCCCCAGTGAGTGGCCTCCAGCAGCTGGACTGGTGCAGTGGCTGACATTCCTTAAAGGGTCTGTCCTACACCCATGCCCAAGATGTTTCCAGTCCAGCTTCCTGCTGTCGTGCACCCCGGGAAGGCTGCAGGCAATGGGGAGACCCTAATGGAGTTCTAATGATGTATGTCCTGGTTTGCTGCCAACCCATTCATCTATGCTGATCTTGGGGCTGGGGTCGCATCCAAAGTGGTCACAGCCAGTGGGGGGAAACAAAAGATGCAGGTAGCTGTAAGTAGACACCAGGCTCCTTCCATGGGCCGCCTGCTACTCCTACTTCTCAGCCCAGCCTGCTCCACTGGGCCCAGGGCCTGTGCACCTGCTGGCCCCACTGCCTCCCTAGGAATCCCTTGGCTCACTCCCTCGCCGCCTGGGCAGCCCTGCTCTGACACGCTGACCCCTTTACCTATTTCTCCCAGGGCAATTTGTCACCTCACAATGCTTCTGTGTTCACTGGGTTTGTGGCTGAGCTGCCGCCTGAGACCTAGCTGGCAGGGCCGCAGGGGATGGGCACAGCTCACTCCAGCCTCTCCAGAAGCCACGCCCCTTCCTCTAGTGAGTGCCCTGGGGTTAGCCAGGGTTCCTTGGACTGAGCACGTGCACCACAGCTGGCCACTCAGCAACCAGTGCCAACATGTGACTGAGCCAGACCGGGAGGAGGAGCTGGCTCTAGCGGGAGGGGAGCTGCTTAGCAGGCGGGCTGGGCAAAGGAAAACAGGGCTGCCAGGCCAGAGTGCAGAAAGACTCTCCAAGTCCCCCTCTGCTCAAACCAAAAACCCTTGGACTCCTGGCTGGAATGCAGGAGCAAGAGCTTTCCCTCTTGTGGGGGCTTGTTGGAGGTGCAGGTTTATGTCCCATGCATCTGCTCAGCTTGGAGTAGCTCAGGGGGTCCTCCCTTTGGCAGTGGTCAAGGAGAGAAAATTGGCCTCTTTCCTCCCTGGGACCCTGTCCCCCAGCCCAGCCTGAGGTAAGCAGAAGCTTTTGGGTGCAGGTTCCCGAGGCTTTGGGCTGTCCAGAGGTGGGAGGTTGGGGTTTGCTGGTGCAATGCCCCACCCCTGTGGCTAGAACACAGAGAAAAGAGGCTCTGCCCCATTCAGAACCCCTCCCCCTAACCCCACAGCCCTGCAGAGAAGCACCATGCAAGAGAATCACAGACAGGAACCGAGACACAGATGGCTCCAGCGGCTGGTGGCACGACCTTGGGCATGGTCCGTCCTGTGGGCGCCTCTTATCTACACCTCGGGGGAGTTGCCCCTGCCCTCTCATAACTCTGAAAACACACAGCTGGCCCCTGTGCCTCCAGGGGTGCAGGCATCCAGCTGAGGGGCTCTCAGGTCAAGCAGTGTGCCTAGTTGGGCCCACCCCAGCCCTGGACTTGGGAGTGGAGTCCAAGGACAAGACACAGGGTGATTCTGTGCTGCCTGACTGGCATCTTGTCTTTGTGCCAGGAAGGCCCCTGGGGGTGCAGGGGAAGCCTGCTCAGGGCTACCTGCTGGCTGCCTGCGACAGACAGCCTGGGCACAGATGAGAAGGCACCTCCCATGTCCAGGATCGCCACATGCCCTGGGCCCTCCCCAGCCTCAACAAAGGACAGCTCCTCAAGTGGGGAGGACCTGGAGCCTGCCACCTGTGCCCGGAACGCCTCCGGGCAGGGCAGGCGGCCGGGCCCATCTACTCCAGCCCAGGCAGTGTGGTGCTATTCAAACGGGGGAATTAGTGATGAATGGGGGAAACTGTTCCTCCTTCCAGAAGGAGACAAAAACCCCTTTGACCTCGGCAAACAATGCCCTTATGTGGGCGCCAGTGCCTCGCAGCCCGCACAAGCCTGGCTCTGTGCAAGTCGCCAGGGCTGGGCTAGGCCAGGCTGGACCAGGGCAAGTGGAAGGCGTCTCCCCCTGCCCCCCATTCCTAGGACCCAGCACACAGGCAGCCTGCTGTGATGCCTCCTGGTGGGGTTTCGGTCATAGGAGCAGACTGGCAGGGGAGGAGGAGCATCAATAATTCACACACACACAAACACAGATGAGCCAGCGAGGGGGTGGGCACACCAGGGCATGGCCCACAGGATGTGGGAGGTAGCTCTAGGCTGTGGGCTGCGGCTGGACTCTGCCTGGAATTTGGGGCTGTCACCCACCAATGCTCCGAAGGAGAGGGAGGTGGGCAGCCTGGGCTGTATTGACATGATACAGAGCTCTAAGGAACACCAGACTCCTAGCAGCTACCCGCTCTTCCTCCAGAAGAAAGTAGGGGGTCCGGGGGTCAAACATGGGATACTGGCATCTCAACATGCAACAGACCTCATGGGCACCTGTCCCCTGAGCACACCACTGTGTCCCTGAGGCTCCAACGGCAAAGAGCAGGGAGCAAACATCCTGCTGCTGGGTCCCACTTGCAGGGCTTGATACACAGTCCAGGCCACGGGCATCTCTGCCCTGGCAAAGCTTGGTGCTCCCAGTGATTGGGCCTATTGCAAGATGCTCCATAAGCAGGTGCCTACACCTGCACCTGCCAAAGCTCATAGACCCCAGAGCCAAAGGCAAGTGCTATCTGCTAGAAAAGGAACGTGAGTCACATGCAAGGGCACTTTCAAAATATCACGGGAAAATGAATGGAAACAAAAGTTAAAGAGTTTTTGGGCCTGGCACGGTGACCTAGCAGCTAAAGTCTTCACCTTGAACGCTCCAGGATCCCATATGGACACCAGTTCTAATCCTGGCAACCTCAGTTCCCATCCAGCTCCCTGCTTGTGGTCTGAGAAAGCAGTCGAGGATGTCCCAAAGCCTTGGGGACCCTGTACCTGTGTGGGAGACCTGGAGGAGGTTCCAGGCTCCTGGCTTTGGACTGATGCAGCTCTGACCATTGTGGTCACTTGGGGAGTGAATCATCAGACAGTAGATCTTCCTCTCTGTCGCTCCTCCTCTATGTATAGCTGACTTTCCAAGAAAAATAAATCTTTTTTTAAAAATTGACTTTGCTGGAAAAACTCTTTTTTTTTTTAAGATTTATTTTTCTTGGAAAGTCAGCTAT